TAGACCATAAGAGCTATTATAACATAATCAGGGAAGTGTTTGGATAGGCAGAAATTCGTCCTACTGAAAAGATAAAAGTAGGCTTTAATTATTGAAACCCCCTATAGACAGCCATAAGAGGGACTCTCTCCTAGCCTATTTCAGAAGGTGTGGTCCTATCGCAGCAGCTGAATATATTAGAGAGGACTCTAAACGCTACGAACTTCTGGCACGGTTCCGTATGAGGACAGAAGAATTGAGACGCCAGTTAGGCGTAACAGTGCATTCTGTACGGACCTACTGGAGAAGAGTCTGGAAGCGGTTGGCAGCCGGATGCAGGCGTTTGTGGAACAACGAAAGCGGCGTCACGGCGATCCAAGGCTACCTAAACCAGCGATTAGACAATGCGTAAACAAGAGCTGTTATTTCTACAATGCGTGTATTTAGGTTTTTACAGACGAATTCAATAGCTCAACTTCTGTAATGCCAGCATTTCTTACTGGCGTATCTGGTTTTATATATTTATCTCTCGGCAAAAGTAGTTTAAGTAGTGCACCTCATAAACCCCTATTCCCAGCATCTTGTCCTATGAAAACGGTGGTTATAGGGGTTTTAGGCGTGGAGAAATAGGATAGGCAGTGAAGGATTTTTGTAGAAGTAAGTGGAAAGTGGAAAAATGTAGTCGAATTTGCTTCCCGCGGCCGCTGGGAGTAAGTTATTCCGCATGTAAATTGAAGGTGTGCGCGCCCTCTCGCAGCGTGGACTATACTAATCTAACTCGAGAACGGTAAGTTGAACCTCAGGAAAGTTGAGGTAGACGATCTCCTAATCACCATTTCTGTTTTTCAGGAAGTTCAAGGAACCTGCATTTTGATAATCGGGTTTTTTCCGCAATACGTTGAATGATAATACAGATTAGGACAATCTGCAGATATAAATCAACAACATTTCTAAATACAAAACAATAAAATGCATATGGGAATTATTAAAGTAAATGCCGCTTCCTATCCCAATTCCTCATCATAAAAGCCCTATAACCACCGTTTCTGTAGGAAAAAATGCTAGGACTAGAGGTATATGATGTGCACTACTTAAACTACTGTTGCCTATTTCACACAACAACGTTCATTTTTATAAATAACGGGTACAGCAAATCAAATAAACCATAGACAAAATTTTGTGATTCAGAGCTATTAGGATGAACTTTAGAGAGGTGGAATTTAGGGATAATATTCTGGTACATCAACTAAGATAATTAGCTTTAATTTAGTTGACCCAATTGTGAAAAAAATCGCGGCATTCAGCACCGAACGCCGCGACTTTTTTTTCACAATTGAGTCAACTAAATTAACGAAATCTGCCAAACCTCCTAAATAATCAACTTTAACATTATTTTTGGGATCTCGAAGTAACAGGCACGCGCGCAGTCCGTATTCAGGCTTTATTCCATTGGAGTGGCATTCTCCCCTCAACTTATCTGTCATTCCTTCCGCCACTTGAAATGACACGGACAAAAAATCAATAATCACCACTGGGTGAGGGGCAGTACTACACTATCAACACACTCAGAAATCCTCCCGTTTCTTCAGCTTCTAGGCGCTAACGTGGTGTGCTCCAACCGTCGTTTTGTCTGCGAAAAAGACTGTGGTTAACGTTCCGTTACACTTCCGTCAATTAAAATGACCGCCCTCTTCGAGCGAGAATATACGGCTACCAAAGTTCGTATTAAGTGGACATGTCCCATTCAAAACATTCCAGATATTAACCTTATGAAGAGTATCGTGAAACGACTTGTTTCAACTAATGAAAATGTTAGAAAGACAGCATACCTGGCTGCCAGGGATTTGATAAAACATACCAAGTCCGATTTCCTCATTAAAAGTCTGCGCCATGGGGGTCTCAGTTCAATCAGGACAGTCTTCTACGAGGCAGATCCTTTCGCCCAAAACTGGA